AACATATCAGTTTCTAAGGTGACGCATTTAGCGCAGTGTGGTAGCAAATACTTACTTTTTTATAATGGAGTACACATTCTGGAGGAGAACATGTGATATCTTTCCTCCATAATGTTTGTTTGCCGACCGTGTATATAAACAGAGCTGAATTGTCGCTTTAATAGTAGCATAAATGGGAGGTTCCTCTATCTTGTGACCCACCGTTATGACGGGTCGTCAGTTGTCATATGACTGAGTGAGTAGGTTCCAAACTAGGACTAAACGTCCCCTGATGCCTCAGAGATAACAATGCGTAAGGGAGCACTTATTCATGATAGTAGACCTTATACAGTTTTCCCGGTGACCTTGAGGCGAGACATGACTGGAAAGAGGTGACTGTTTTTAAACGCTGGACTTTAAAAGTAGCAATTCATTTCGAAATTGTCATGGGAAAAGTGTAGACAAAAAGCAGTACATTGGTAGATAGCTTTGTCGTTTTAGAGAAATCTCCTGTTATTTTACTACAGATGAGTTAGCGATTTGAGCTTTCCACTAGAGTAATCAGGCTCAAAATACCTTTATCTGTAAGATAAACGCCTCTGAAAATGTACGCATCGTATCACGATTATATTAATCTGTCCCATCGGTTTTTTCGGATATATTTATATTCGTGGATTCCTCAAACCTACACTGCCCATTTGCGAAAGGCAAACAATTCTCCAAAAATCATGATGTTTGAGAGACACCTTTTATACTTTGTTTTTTTCATGCCTGCTGAAACAGCAGCATGCATTATTTTAGAATAGGCACAAAATTCGAGTCAGGGAAAAATGAAGTGTTATGCAGTGAGGTCTATCTTAAAATAAAGGACTTACCTCCGCCATTTTTGAAACAGAGGAAAGGAAATCGCCAGACGTTGCCGAATCCGATTGAGAAGCCGATACATGCAAACAGAAAATCCAAATTTCGCCTCCATTTTTCCCGAGGCTTGGCTTCACGACCTGCATCGATCCGGCTGCGCACGTCCACGGACGACACCTGGCTCATTTCTGAATTGTACGCAGCCAAAAGTGGGGCAGTATTAGGGCGTAGAAACTCACGGAGTACATGACTGCTGCCAACCAACCAGCTGAGTGCAACTCTGTCTCGGTACTGCGTCCTCAGTTGCC